GCCCCGCAGGGCGGCCCCGGCTCCTCCCGCCGCGCGTCCCACCCCCCGGGCCTGCAGGCCCCTGCGCTGCCCCCCGGTTGTGCCTGAGGCCTGGAGAGCTGAGCTCCCTCAGCTGGGCTTTCAGTCGTGCGGGGATTGAAGCTCTGGGCACGTTTCCGTGCGCGTTGAAGCGCTGCCTGTCGGAAGACTGTCAGTAAGTTTAGTTCTAATGTATTTGAGGTCACGGGATTCTTTTACTAACCAAGTTTCTTGGCAAAAAAGCTCCAGGATTATTTTTTTTTTTCCTATTACTCATGAAAATCAATGAGTCCTTGTGTAAGCGTGGAGCAGAGTAGGGATAGAACCCCGTGCATGAATCAGAATCCTTGTTGACATCGATGACAGGAAAGGAGCAAACTCTGCCTCGAGAGTGATGATTTTGCATCCTGTTCATTTGGGGCTGGTTGAGCTTGGTTTGCTGTGGGTTTTTTCTCAAGGCCACAGCTTAGTTCCATGAAGTGGATTTGCCTGCAAGGTCAGCACCTTGCCCGGTGACCTGTGGGGATCTGGAGGGAGCAGGATGTTCCCACAGGGATGGGCGGGTCAGTCGGACACTGCGGGGACTGAAGGGGATGGGGCTGCAGAGTGAAAAGCCACTAAGTGCTGTCATCTGATATTAGACCTTCATACCCTTCCATATGCCCGCAATAAATGAAATCAATATTTTCCTGTGGCCAGACAAAAGCAATTGCTAGAGCCACAAATCTTCTCATCTTTCCCACAGAGCAGCTGCCAGCCTGTCCCTCACAAACAGGCTGCTGGAAACGGGCTGAGCTGAGAGAAACGTGGCTGGAACTGTGAGACACTCGTGTGAAGAAGTTCCTTTCTTTCACAGCCCTTTGTCAGTCGCTCCATTTACCCTTCTAGCTGCATCATTTTGCTCTCTTACCCCACGCAGGGCCCGGGGAACAGGAAAACAGTTGGAATGCCATGCTTGGTGGAGCTTCACTCCTCACACGGTGCTGGCACCCAGGGCATGTCACCTGTGCCCCTGCAAGCACCAGTCCCTGCTCTGCAGCACTTGAACATCTTTATTCTTTTGAAAAAAAGCTTTTCAGCTCACAACACAATTACAGTTATTTAGTTGCAAACTCTCAGGTGTGTAAGCTCCTACAGGGCTGGCTGTGTTTGAGTTACAGCCCCATTACACCCCTCTCCTGCAGGGTGTGTCTGGTGGTGCAGGGTACACAGCTCCTCCTGGGAACAGCCCCCCAGGGTATAGGGGTGTTTGTGGAGCAGAATGCCAGAAGGATGGAGGAATGTTAGCCCCAGGCAGCACAGAGACCAGTAACTGTTATAAGCTGCTTCTTGCAAATTTCCCCTTGAGGTGAATCAAGTGTGTGGAGGCTGAGAGGCTGCCAGGTTTGCTGGGGGGGCTGCTCGGGGCTGCTGACCCAGCCCTGTGTGCTGAGCTCTGGGGCTTTGTGCAGTTCACTGGGCAGTGAAATGAGACCCAAAGCCCAGGCAGTGTGCTGTGTAATTGGGATCTGCTGGCAAGATGCTCTGTGGCTAGAAGCCCTTTTGCATTTGCTGGGATTATTAGCATTTACTCACAGCCTGGGC